GTGTGTGTGTGTGTGTGGGGTGGGGGGTGGGGGGTTACAGTGCACACTAAGAAAAAAAAAGGGAGAGGGAGATGGAGGGATACAAGAAAAAAGAAAGAAGTTTGCCTGGAGACAGACGTCTGCATTCATAGTAACTGGGAGGCCAGTAGGTGAAAGGTCATACTGTAATTATTTAAGAGTTAGAATAGAATAGAATAGAATAGAATAGAATAGAATAGAATAGAATAGAATAGAATAGAATAGAATAGAATAGCCATCTGTCCTTCCAGGTGCTATGAGTTTTAAAGTATCAATTTAAAAAAAAAAAAGATCAGTTGTAAGAATTTAAAAGCCACCACGTTGTGTCTGGACCTCAGCAGCAGCATCTAATTTAAGGGACTGTCTCTTCAGGTTCTTCACCAAAGCAAAGCGCAGCCACATTTAAAGCACGGACCTAATGTGCCATGTTTTCCCGCATTTCCTTATTAATTGGCACGGTGGAGCTGTGTGTGTGAGCTCAGAGTTAACGTTGCAGTTCTGCCCCATGAACACACAAATTGGAGCTCAATTACGCACAGCTTTACTTGGCTGCACAGCACATATGAGGAGGTGTTGACTATAATTGTAGCTGGAGTGAAGTGCATCTTCTACTTTCTCATGCAAACTTCTCTCCTGTGGTCCAATTCAGCTCAGAGTCTCTTTGTTTGAAGGTAGACTTGGTACCGTTACAGCCTATTGAGATTATACTTTGATTTCTTTAAAAGCAATTAATTAATGCAGATTTTCACGATGTGATACAGCAAATAAAAATACATTTAACAAAACATGCTAAATAAAAACGGGCAGGTTTGTTGGTCATTTTAAAGAGTTTATTAATTCATTACTGTCCCGTTTCAAACTAAGTGTTTGACATTAGTTAGTGTCATAAGTGTCTTCAAGCTGTTCATCAAGCATTCAGCCTGTAGAAGACACACACACACACACACACACATCACTGGGTGGGTCGGTGTCATTTGGTATTGCTCAGAAAGAAAGTGATAAAAAATATTCTACAAGACCATCTCCATCAGCTTCATGATCCTCTGACATCAGTTCACATTTCTTTTCAAAAGTACAAAGTTCATGGGGCTGTCGCTAACCTCTTAGGAAGTGGATGCAAGAGAAAATGCGACCCCAGGTTGATTACCTAGATTGTGGATGGTGGAAAACAAAACAAGGGAACCAAGTTTCTGGGACAGATGACACAAAAATAGAGCTGGTTTTTTTTAGACATAAGTTTTTGTGTTTGTAAATATTATTATAGCAGCCAATCTACAGCATCCACATCTTTACGCACAAGCAGCTCTCTTGTTGCAGCCATGCACACCTCTCTGGGTTTTATCTCCGAGTGAGTTCACTTTTCCTCTGGCGTTTCTACACGTGCACAAACGTGCGCACTCCCTCAGAAGCAGATATGGAATCAGTCACTTGATTCATTCGGAGCTGATTCGACTATCAACAATGTTCTAATTAATTTCACAGCTTGCTTGTCCTACTACCTTACATTTTTACACACACGCGCACACAGTGGCACAGTGGCTTCTGACTAAGAGCATGGCTCGGATGCCTCTGTGTCACAGAGACATTATGTAATGGAGCCGTGCTGACTGAACTCCGTTACCTCCTGGAACTTGTCTGCAGCCTCCGTCAGGCTGCTCTCTGACTCTGCAGCGTCACCTAGCGGCCCAGCAGTCTCCATCCTTTGTTTTGCTGTGTTCACTGGTTTGTTTTTATTTTTCCCTCCACTGTCTACACCTAGAGTACACATTTAAAGATGAGTAAACTCCCCAAGTATGTAAATAAGTATATAACCACTGTTGTTTTCATGTCTTAAAGGGATTTCATGTATAAAAATAGTATAGTAGCACATTAATGAGATAAAACGTGTTTTACAAATTAAATAGTTGAACTAGTTATTTTTAAAGATAGCAATAAGAAGTTCACGGAGATTAGGGTTTTGTTTTTTGAGCTGTGCGTAAAAGTGTCTGTGCGTAAAGTGTCTGTGCGTAAAAGTGTCTGTGCGTAAAAGTGTCTGTGCGTAAAAGTGTCTGTGCGTAAAAGTGTCCGCGTCTTTTCTACATCTGCGGAGAAATGCTCTGCTGTCAGTTCCGAGCTGTGCGGATGTTTGTGTTGTGGTCTCTCTTTCTGTCTTTCCTCTACGCTGCTGCTGCTGAAGAGGGCTGCTTATGTGACCAAAGAGCGCCCCAGTCCCGCCTCGAGAGGAGGAGGAGGAGGAGGAGGAGGAGGAGGAGGAGGAGAAAGAGGAGTCATGTAAGCTCCAGCGTCTTCTCACTCCAGTCCAACTATCGTCATGATGCGTTCAGGGGATGTTTCTGTTTGTGTGCCGGAGAGGCGCAACAGATGACTGTTGTCTTGTTTAAACCGCACGTGGATCACCAAAGAGCTCCTTTTTAATTAAACAAACAAACAAAAAAAAACCTAATATTCAAATAAGAAAGATTTTATTTTGTTTCCAGTTTGATTATGTTGTTGACATAAAGTGAGACATTATTAAATCTGCCTTCAGACACACAACAACCTCTCTGTTCAAAAAGAAAACAACAATAATAAAAACATGTCTTTACATGTAGCGCATTCAGACTGTAATACGTTATCCATGTAGAAGAACACATGTTAAGGGCACACACGCGCGCGCTTGTGTGTGTGCGTGTGTGTAGGGTGGTGGTGGTGGGGGTTCATAACATTAGCCAGTGTCTCTTTAAAAAATTCAACTTTCTTGTTGTATTCTGGAATGAGGTCAGACACGAGGCCCCTCATTGCACGCGCTGAATATTATTAGATTCCATTTTAAGCCAATCAGCGCCGAGGTGGGCGTGGCCAAAGGCCAAGGCAGGCTAGCGACAGCGTCTGATTGGTGGATTTTTATCTCCGTTGTATGGGACAGGAATAAATGCAGGGTTGGGGGCGGGGGGCGGCTCTGAAGGGGTGCTCAGTCAGCCTCAGTCAGATGGGAGGCGGGCAGCGGAGAAATAACGCTCAGATTCTCCTGGTTCAACTCAGCATGCTCCGTCTGTGACTCCAGGAGAGGAGACCCAGAGCTGCAGACGCACTCAGTTTGTTCCTCACCCTGGACTGGGGGGGCCCTCTGTGCGTGCCTGAGCGCAGCGTGGCGCCCAGGAGGAAAAGACTCGCAGCTGCTTTAACAGCGATCCGAGCTGGAAATCAAACTTTTTCATGCCTCTGGTCTGTTTAGGCAACTTTTGGACCGAGCCTGCGCATCCCAGGAGCGAACTGTGCTGGTTCCGTTGGGCTCCGGCTGTCAGACAAGGATCTGAGCTGTGACGTGAAGCAGAGGAGCAGCATGGTGCAGCGGATGAGCCACACGGAGAGCACCGCCGAGGCGCTGTCCTTCTTCGCCGGGGACTCGAGCTCCGACTCCGGGGCGTGCATGGATCTGGACCCGGCCGCCTCGCCTCTCTCGCCGGGCTCCACAGCCTCCTCCACCGCCGGGGACAAGCTGGGAGACAACCCGGCGTGGTGCAAGACCCCCAGCGGCCACATCAAGAGACCCATGAACGCCTTCATGGTGTGGTCCCAGATCGAGCGGCGGAAGATCATGGAGCAGAGCCCCGACATGCACAACGCAGAGATCTCCAAGCGGCTGGGGAAGCGCTGGAAGCTGCTCCGGGACAGCGACAAGATCCCCTTCATCCGCGAGGCCGAGCGGCTCCGGCTCAAGCACATGGCGGACTACCCGGACTACAAGTACCGGCCCAGAAAGAAGGTCAAGTCCAGCGCCTCCAAGCCCGGCGGGGGGGACCGGGGGGAGAAAGTTGGCAGCAGCTCGAACAGCAACACCAGCACCAAGAGCTCCTCGTCCTCCAGGAAGAGCGGCTCCAAGTCACCCAGCAAGACCCACAAGTCCCTGTTCGGAACCAGCAGCAGCACCGTGAGCAGCACCAAAGCATCCGCGTACGCCTCGGAGGCAGAGCCCCATCACACCTCCCTCTACAAGTCCAGGTCCGTGTCCTCCGGAGCCAGGCACATCCCGGAGGGCAGGAAGCCCAAACGGGTCTACGTGTTCGGGGGCAGCGGGACCCCAGGATCCTCCGTGGTGGTCCCGGCCAGCCCCACGCTCAGCAGCTCGGCGGACTCCAGCGACCCCCTCAGCCTGTACGAGGACGCGGCCGGCGGCAGAGACTCCCCCGCGTCCTCCCCCACCCCCTCCGGCTCGCACTCCTCCGTCTCCTCCTGCTCCTCCTCCTCCTCCTCCTCCTCATCTTCAGAGGACGAGGAGTTCGAGGACGACCTGCTGGACGTGAACCCGAGCCCCGGCGCCGTCAGCGGCGTGCCCCTGGGGGGCTTCGTCCCCTCGGTGCTGGACCGGGACTGGGACTTGAACTGCGAGTCCATCTCCGGGGGGTCCCACTTCGAGTTCCCCGACTACTGCACCCCCGAAGTGAGCGAGATGATCTCCGGGGACTGGCTGGAGTCCACCATCTCTAACCTGGTGTTCACATACTGAGAGGAACCACGCGCGCGCGCGCACGGCTAGAGGGGGTCCTGGCCACCAGCCTGCGTCCCTGCAGATGCAGAGCCCCGGACGGCTGGTCCCGGGTGGACTGAGGGACAGCTCGGTCCAACTGTGATTGATTTGCACGTTCTTGTTTGACTCCACGTTGAAGCAGAACCTTCTAAGATTAAAGGGACATTTCACAACTTTTCTACCACTGACAAGGTACAGAGCAGGAGCGCGTGCGTCATTTAATGAAACAAATGTGCCATCAGGAGGCTTTTTTTTTTTTTTAATAAAACCGAGGTGGGTTGATGTTTTTTTTTTTTTAAAGTCTGTTATTTTCTCTAAAGTAAAAAAAAAAAGTAAGAAAAAAACAAATCCACGTGCAGCATGATGAGCCGACTTTGTTGCTGTTTGTGCTGAGACTTTGCTGTTGGTGCGCGCTTTTAGTGGCGCGCGCACGCTGCCTCTTTTGGTGGCTTTTTATAATTTTTTTATTTAATAAGAAAAAAGGACTCTGAAATAATCACCAGCTGTTTCAAACATCAGGACTCAAACGCAACACGACGTCTGTGCTGGACTCTGGATCAGGACCAAAACCCTCCCGAGCTTCATCCCGTCAGAGACAGAAAACAAAAACAGGTTGTTCCTCCGCCCTCACACATGAAGCCGTTTTCAAGAGGTGGGGGAGACGCATCTTCTTGTTTTCTTGTAGTCCTGCTTTGATTTGTTTGTCTGTCACATTTCCTTCTCAGGCGAAGGGCTAGAGTTTTTACATAAAAAAAAGCAAAAAAAACACAAGTCTTGAGTTCTTTTTATATTTAAATGTACACTTTTTTGGACACTTAAAGAGATGAAGCAGCTCGATTATTTTCTCAGTGTATTTTTGTACAAATCTATATGAAAAATGGGGGAAGTCAACAATCTGTAGCCTCCTACTGACGGATTTCCTGGTTTTTGATACTCTGGCAGGCTGGTTTTCATGCTGCCTTCAAGTGCTCGTGGTAAACTCGTAAACTTGGCCGTTGTAAGGCTTCTTTCTTTTTTAACAACAGAGCAGACCTTATTTAACACTGTGCTGCCTGTCGTTTGGTTTGTTTCTTTTAAAGTCAAAGGCGCCTGAGCACCTTTGATGCTAACAAGGAGCTAAGAAGAACCAGGTGTGTACAAAAAAAAAAAACTTTCTACAAATCTTACCAGCAATTACTATCAAGACGTGTGTGATGTCTGACCCTTGAGCACGTGCAGCACACTAGTTTATTAGGACGGGATGGGGTTTGTTCCGACAGCACTTGAACGCAGCGCCGTTCTTTTTTTTTAATTTAAACGTTTACAGTGGCGGACTGCAGGCTTCTTAAAGACGCAGTCAGAGCCTTGTTCCTGTGCACCCTGAGCAGCATTACTGTCTGAAGCAGCCACTTGCTCTCATTTTTGTTGCATTTCACGTTCAGCGTCTTGACAAACCATTAGAAGATGATTGTAGCTTTAAATCGGACTGTTTCTCGGTGTTCCTCATGAACTGATGTCATATTTTGTCGCCCACCTGGGGGTTGAACAACAAGCAAGACAACAAAACATCAAGCATATTCAAATTTCTGACTTGAGTTGCGCAACACCTACCTGTACTGCGTTTCTCATTGTATTTGGATATATAATCTTTTCTACTTGTCGGCTAACTACTAGCTAATAATTGTTTTAGTATCTTTATGGCATGGTGAATAGCATTTGTATTTCAGATTCAGGTTATTATTAGCTGTTGTGTTTTTTAAAAAAAATACTTGTGGACAAAAAAAAAAAAGTCAAAAGATGAGCTTGATCTTTGTATATTTGACTGTACCATAAAGCAAAAAGATTGTGTGTTTATGTACGTTGTTGCTCTCGAGGACAGGCACTGTTTCGAACTGCCATCTTTTCCACATCCTTACTTACAGTGAAGGTGGTCAGTTCAGACTGTTTTTTTTTTATATATAGATATATGAAAGCATTTTTAAATATATTAACTTTATTTTTCATCCATCCTGTGCAATATGCTGTGTAGAATTATCATTTATTGTCTCGAATCATGTCATAAACAAAGTAAACATCCTTTTTGTTTTGGACAGATGTGAGGAGGGGGTGGGGGGGGAGGGGGGGGTTTATGCCAGCTAAATTGTGTCCATTCACTGCCTGTCAAATTGTTCATACAAACTTGTGTACAGAACTTTTTTCAAGGAAGGAAATAAATATCAGCTGGAACTGAAACGGGTTTTGTTCTTCTCTTCATTTCATCGTCACTCTTCAACTTTTCAAAAACAAAACAGTCTCCGAGGTTTTTAGCGTTAATCTCACCTGCAGCACATCTTTTTGCAGCTTCTGTTTTTTTCTTGTTTTTTTCCCCCCCACGTTTGTTGGGTAAACAGTAAGAGCTGATGGTGAACGTCCGGGTGTGGATTCCTGTTCCGATGTAAACAGAAACTGTTCGGATCAACAGGCGTTCAAACGGCTGAGAGCTTGAAAAACGACCCTCCATGACGTTTTCATGTAAACCCCCAAAAGGCTGAAGTCAGAGTCATGGTTCTTCTGGGGAGGGGGGGAGGTTGGTTCTGTTGATGTGGGCCTGATGACTTGGCTCTGAATGTCAACAACACAACAGATGTGCGTGCCACCTTTCTTAAACTTTAAAAAAGCTGAATGTGTGCAGGGCCTCTAACTGTGTTTTTACTGCGTGAAAACAGAAACAAGGCCAGCTTCACATGTAAACAACATGTTAGAAATAAAATCACCAACATTTTTTAGATAAATATTTATTTGTTATTATAAATATACAATAAGATCAGTTTACGGTTTCAACTTGCAGCATTGAAAACGTTTAGGTTTCTGGATCATTCAGATTATCTTAACTGGAAAATAGATGTGTAAAAACAACAACAAAACAAGTAAAAATAAAACAACAAGCTAAAAACAACAACAAAACAAACCAACAATAAAACAACAACAGAACAACTAAAACAACAAACAACAAAATAAACTAAAATAACAACAGCAAAACAAACAAATATAACAACAGGACAAACAAAACAAAAATAAAACAACAAAAAATGAAATGCCAAAACAAACCAAAAAAGACAACAAAACAAACCAAAAAAGACAACAAACAATAAAACAACAAAATGGTCATAAGATAAAACAACAACATATCAAACAAACAAATAACAAAACTAACAATAACAAAACTAACAACAAGACTAACAAAACAAAAATAAAACAAACAAAAAATAAAATGACAACAAAACAAACAAAAAAGACAACAAAAGAAACAATAAAACAACAAAACGACCATAGTATAAAATGACAACAAATCAAACAAACAATTAAATAACAAAACAAACAAAACCAAAAGTAACAGAACCAAAATAACAAAACAAAAAAATAAAATGACAAAAACAAAGCAACAACATAACAAACAAAAAATGAAATGAAAATAAAACATGTTATGATAAACAATCATAACAAAATTTATAAATGATCTTTTTATAAGAAAATAATCCAAAGGATTAAACCACACGACTGACTGTAAATAGTCTGAGTAAAATATTCTGTTCTGTTCTACTTTATTCTATTCTGTTCCAGCGTGTTGTGCCTGTTTTTGCAGGGGTCCAGACAGTTAATATATTCCCCTTCCCCCTCTTCCAGACAGGTTTCTGGGTGGGGGATGGGCTCTGAGGACCCTCCAGCATAGCTGACAAGCATGTCTGTCTGTCTGTCTGTGTGTGTGTGTGTGTGTGTGTGTGTGTGTGTGTGTCCATGAATGTGCATCACATGACAGTTTGTGGCTAAATAAGCTACCACAGCCACATATGTCCACCTGTATGTAACACTGCTGACTGCTTTCCATCAACTGATTCAGAAAAACAAGCTAAGAAATCTGTAGATTTTTTAAATTTTTACAATATCCAAACCTATTATTTTATTCTGTTTTATGAATGAGGCACAGCTATGCAAATCTCTTGAAGCACTCTATTTATGAACCAAATAATCTTATTTCCCCCATTTTGTTGTAATTTTTATACATTCTACTTTAATTAGATTACTTTAATCTTAACTTAAAGGGAAAGTTAAAATCTTGAAAGTGTATTTTTTTAATCCATGAACAAGTAATATCTTACCCGTTGTAGATAACCATGTGAATCTCACCAATGTGGAGATATCCATTTTAATTCTATTTTGTGTGAAGAGCTAAATCCAGCTGTGCTTAGACCATTGCTGCCTCTTAAAACAATCTCTGCACAAATTGTTTAATAAACCTCTGTTTCACATCACATGGTTTCTCCAGCAGAAGACAGTCCTGTCAGAATTAAACAGTTTTAAAGAAACTAATCAGTCTTATTCATATTTGTTCATTTTTTAATTATTAATACTGTAGTTTGTAGAACCCATTGATTGTGTTTTGTGTGTGTGTGTGTGTGTGTGTGTGTGTGGGGGGGGGGGGGGGTCCATATTTTTGAACAGATTCAACACTTCTCTGTTCAGATGAAGATCCCTGTGTGGTGGCAAAGTACCTGTCAGTAGTCCACTACTTGTGGGGTGGCCCACTCTCTGCACAGTGGCTCACTCCTTGTAGGGTGGCTTTCTGCCTCTGCAGTGGCCCCCTCGCTGTACATTGTCCCACTTCCTGTGCGATAGTCCACTCATTGTGTAGTCGCCCACTCCTTGTGTAGTGGCCCATCCACTGTGGGGTGGCCCTCTCTCTGTACAGTGGCCCACTCGTTGTACATTGGCCCACTCCCTGTGCAGTGGCCCACTCCCTGTGGGATGGCCTTCTCCCTGTGCAGTGTCCCATTCCCTGTGTGGTAGTGGCCCACTCCCTGTGCATTCTCCTACTCCCTGTGCAGTGGCCCACGCCATGTGGGGTGATATTCTCCCTGTGCATTTGCCCACTCCCTGTGCAGTGTTCAACTCCCTGTGCGGTGGTCCACTCCTTGTGTTGTAGCCCATTCATCGCGTCGTGACTCCCTCCTTGTGTAGTGGCCCATTTACTGTGTGGTCTCAGACAGGACTCAGCTGACTCCTGAATGGGAGAGGTGCAGACTGCACTGGAGTCAGTGACTCTGTAAACACCCAGCGGTGTGTGTGTGTGTGTGTGTGTAGGGGGGAGGGGTCATATTTTTGAACAGATTCAACACTTTTTTGTTCAGATGAAGATCCCTGTGTGGTGGCAAAGTACCTGTCAGTAGCCCACTACTTGTGGGGTGGACAACTCCCTGCACAGTGGCCCACTCCTTGTAGGGTGGCCTTCTACCTGTGCAGTGGCTCACTCCCTGTGTGGTGGCCCA